TGTGTTTGATTTAAAGTTCGGCTAAAAAATGCCACGGGCTGCTGATTTTGCGAAAGTACCCGCTCCTACCGCATAATCCGAAGCATCCGCTGAAATTTCTAAATTCTCATCCTTTTCAGGAAATTTCAACACAGGGGCTTGCGTTAATGCTTGTTTTAATTTTTCGAAAGCACTATTGGCTTCGGCCGTCCACGAGAATCTTGCCTTTTTCCTTTTTAATTTTAACAATGGCTCAGCGATAGCCGCAAAATCTTTTATAAAGGACCTATAATATGAACAAAGTCCTAGAAAAGAAGAGAGCTTCTTTGCCGTGTTTTGGAGTCGGATACTTTTGTACAGCGATTATTTTTGATTTCGTCTGTCTCGATTCCCTTTTTGAGATATTTTGTAACCTAAATATTTTAATTCAGGGGCTGCAAATTTGCACTTTTCGACATTAACTTTTAGACCGGCCTCATTTAATAAAGAAAACACCTGTCTTAAATCCTGTACATGTTGGTCGAGATTATCACTAGTAATAATGATATCGTCTAAATAGATAAATGTGGACTTTCCAAGAACAGGTCTTAACACAATGTCCATGCATCGCTGAAATGTTGCCGGGGCCCTGAAAGGCCAAACGGCATACGCAAAAAATGCATAAGTGCCAGACTTGGTTATAAAAGCAGTCTTAGGCACGTCCTCAGGCCTAACCCCTATTTGAAAATAACCAGTCGTTAAGTCTAAAGTCGTCATAAATTTGGTTGATGATTTATGTTCCTTAGAATGTTTCTTCTATGATCGGTAACGGATATACCGGATATTTCGTTATGGAGTTTAATTTACGGTAATCAATAGCGAATCTCCACCTTTTTGGATGCTCCAAAGGATAGTCATTATTTTTCTTACATAAAACCACCGGGCTAGCATAACTACTTGAGATGGGCGTTATGATCTTTTTACGTAGCATATCGGTGATATGCCATTCTATAATTTTTTCCTTATTCTTATCATACCGGTATGTTTTTGACGAACTGGCAATTGAATCTCCGGTGTCAATACTATGGTTAGTAACCTGAGTAAATCCTGGAATATCACTAAATAACGAAGCAAATTCACTTACCACTTGTCGGATTCTATCCTTGCTCGTCATTAGGCAGGTGGTCAAGATTTAACCTTCGGCGGTTCAAGCCTTTTTTCTACGACGAACTGGTTTCATTGTCAGCTTAAGGGACGCTTCATTAAAATCCAGTGTTGCTTGTGCTTCTGAAAGAAAATCTATTCCTAAAGATTAAATGTGCTTGCAGATTCTTTACTATAAAAAACATCACCTTTACCTTGTTCGTCCTTGATACGGATATACAGAAGGTACTTTACCTATGCACTTACATTTTTCTCCTTGCGCCGCTAATACTGTCGTATTATCCGAATTATATATGCGGTATACTTACGAAAATACTTTCCTAAAAAAATCTTCTGCCACACAGGAACACTGCGCGCCTGTATCCAGGAGTGCGGTGGCTGGGATATTATTCACCAACACTTCAATCTTCGGAAGAGTCAAATTTTTCACCATTACTGTATTTAACTTGTAGGAAGAGGGGTTTTCGTGGCCTTCGGATTTCCGCACCCTCCCGTCAGCAGAAATCCGTTTTAGTTTAAATTTTTTTCCTTTCCGTGCTTTCCTTCTTTTTCCCACTGGCCTTGAGACTTTTTTCCTGGGTTGCTATTGAACTGTCGACGTTCGCCGGCTGTTTTTGAATGCTCGGGTTTCCTTGCCCACTGATTCGCTTTGCCTCCGTAGCCGTGTGCTTGAGTTTGCTGTAGTCTTGGCGTACCAAATTGGTTTCGCTGTTGATATTGGCGTCTTCTTTCGACGTCCGCCGTTCTTCTACTTTCAAACTGGATTGCTAGCTCAAATAACTTTTCCAGTGTAGTCGGATTTCTTAATTCAATAAAGTCTTGCACTTGGGGCAGTAACCTCGGCAAAAAAAATCACTTGAATTATTTCAGGATCCGGACGGTTTCCATACAAGAGCTTGAAGACGTGAATTTTTCTTTAAAATAAAGCTCGAGAGATTTTCGATTCTTTGCTGATATATACTGGAAAAGTTCCGTTTCTAATTTCGCACGATCCCTTACAACAGGGAAGGCTTTTAGTAGGGCAGTCTTGAAATTTCGTAAGTATAGGTGGGACTTCCTGCTTGACCCAAGAGACTTCTGCCTATACATTTGAACCAGTTAAGCGCTTGGCCCCTCAAAGCGCTGGTAGCTAAGGTAACTTTTTGAAACTCGTGCACGGGGTAGAGCATGAAGTGGTCATCCAATTTTTCCAAAAAACTGGTTACCGGTGAGTTTCCATTAAATGTTGCTTCTGGTTTCATCGAAGCGCGCATGGTCTGGACGATGTAACCAAATCCTTCCAGGGCGGCAGCTGGCATTTCTGGATTCTGAGCCGTTTCTGCAGGCAGCACAGGTTCTTCTTGAAACTCGGCCATGGTTATTCTTCTTCGTTGGGCGCCACTATCAGGTTCCATGTTCCTTCTAACCTTCTTCGGGAACATGCAAGGACCTGACTTGGAACAGAGAGCTTACTAAAGCTATGTTCAAAACTGTGGGAAGTAAACAGGATACACAAGAAGGGTATACAAAACCCTTTATTTTTCTCTATTTACAATGACTTCCGTACTTCCGAATACACCGACCCGCTACTTGGGGTCAAAAACGTAAAAGTATAAAAATAAAACTAAACTCTAATTTAACTTTAGAATAATAAACGTGGAAGATTGGCCTTATAATTAACAGGAAGCCGTATGTAGTACAGAGAACTGTGAACACTACAATACGTTTAAAATTTATCAAGAGGATTAAAACCTCTGGCCTGGAAGGCAAACAGCAACTGCGTAACTTCTAAGGTAAGCGGCCTGCTTCGACTCACTGCTTCCTCTCTCTCGCTTGGCAAAAAAGCCACAACTTAAATACTTGGCGTTCGCCAGACAAACTTTGCATAAATACCTTCACGCTTATAATTCTGGCCGGAAGTAGAAAATAAGAAGTGATAGTAGAGATTTAAAATAAAATAAACGTTAGTAAAAATTAAAATCCTTACAATGTTATCTAATGTTATGTAAAAATACAAAAATATAAAATGCAAATTATATGTTATGTAAAAATAAGCAGTTTACATTTCATTCATGGTACCAAGAAAAGTGGTAAGCATCCTTACATGTTATAAAGGAAAATGATAATTAGCGAAAATATTTCAGGCCAGTTAGTGATTTATCTAGAAAAGCTAGTATTCTTTAACGGAGATAAGAATGTTGCATAATATTTTTTGTTGCATATGTATGTTTTTGTACACATTTTAGTTTGCTGTTGTATACTGGAGAATTATTTGCTTTTTTATGTGAATGCTGCTCTTGTACATCAGGACGATTTACCTTACATAGTAAAAAGACAATCAGTGTATATTCCAAGTTGTTGTCGAGACCAACCAGCGGCCGAGCAGCAATGTAGCTGAGCACTGGTAGCTCGACCTGAGCTCGATTTAATGCTAATGGACTGGCTGTAGGAGGTGTAACGCGGTAAGAGCCATTTTTTCCTTTATAAATCCTCTTCGCAGGCATCGCTCCTTTCAAGCAGATAGTCCTCAAGTGCTTTGTCATAATTAAATAAACGTAACCCGATTGATTGTAAATCACACATATGAATTTACAGCCCAGAATTTAAATAATTACAGAAACATATATTGCATACCATTTCGATAACTTACTACAGCTATTTTTAACTAAAGTTTTTTTTTTTTTTCAATAATGAATAAATTCCTCCTTTTCGTAATGCATGCATAGATACAATGAACTTCATACTCAATAATACAAATTACTCTAGAAAATTATATGTTTTGCATTATTTGTATTTATTTAAATTTCATATAGGTTATGAAAACCTATTTCTCTCACCTAAATAAACCATGCAATTGAGGTTAAGCGCCCAGTAATGGAAATTAGGCTATCTTAACTATACATGCTTTCTTTCTTAAGGTTTCCCGAAACACATTCAGAGACGTACAAATTTAGAAATGCTGATCGTATACGTTCAAATTGAGAAATATTGATTGCTTATGTTTATGCAATTGTAGAGTCCTAAGTCCTACGGTTATATCGATTCACTAACGCGAGAAATGTGCAATGCCGTCATTGAGATTCAAACTCCAGACTTCCGGAATACTCTTCGAGATGCTTCCAGTTACACCACGAAGGCACGCGGAAGAGAACGGAGAAAAATACCTAATATACTCACTCTTTTAAATGGGTGACTAAGGATGAGGAGATTCAGTCGCAAATAATGGTGGTGAAGAATTATTGCCCAAAACGTTTCAGTTCAGGCGCCACTGAAGAGTCGTTTTATAATTTTTTTCCATGTCATGAAATTGAAGAAATCTGTAATGCCCTCGTCGGGATTCGAATCCTATCGGAAACGCAACGAGTGTGCTTCCAGTTATAACATGAAATCACGCGGACAGGTGACAGAAAATACTTTACATATTTAAATATACGCATTTTACCAAAGGAAAAGATAAAAATAAAATCCCATCTCTGTAGTGAAAATAAATGCGATATTGTTAATTAGATGTATATTATAAATTATATTAGGTAGATATAACACAAATTATGAAGGGTATATTATTATTAGTAAAAAAGTACAAAATATCACAAAGAATGCATATTGCAGTGTTAGAATACTACTTTTAAAGAGCTCAATTTAATAAATAATATGCAGAGTTAACTTGAAAGTTAAATGCCACAAGGTCTAGAAATAGGTCGCTAAATAGCTCATGTCGTATATAGACAAGTATATCTATAGCTGCAAAAATAAAAGCATATATAATATATTTTCTTAAATCAACTGCAACATTTTTTTAAAATCAACTGCAACATTTAACTCATACGCATTTTTAAGCTTAAATTAAAAACACTTCTTTGAAAAAAGGCTAGTTGCAATAAATGAAAATTGTTAGTTACCTTTAGCAAAAAAAGCATTGAGAAGCATGAACTTTCAATTGCTGCCTGTTGACTGATGTCAGCCTTAAACAATGAATGAAGAAATACTGTTATCACAATATCCCAGACAGATTGCTTTTGAGGAGGCGAAGGTCAAAGTCATTTAATTACAGATTACTCTATCTGATACGAAATGTTGTTAAATTTCATATTTTATCACTGAACCGAAAAAGTGGTAGACAGAACAACCACAAATGTAAAAAATCGTCGTTTACAACTTTTAATTACGATTATTTAGAAAAAATTGAATAATAACTTAAATTTCATTCGTAGCACTTAAATGAAATTTTCTTTTTGCGTGGCAAGTATTTAAAGGTGTCAATGACTTTTAGTTTCAGATCATTTTACTGGTTTAAATATAAACAGACTTTCTATGGAGTTAATAGGTTTTTGTAATATTTTTTTCATATTCTTACTCCAATAGCTCATTAGACAGAGTTTTACTCAACCTCCTGAGTAAAAACTCTTATAATAAAAACGTAGATTACAATAAATAAATAAATAAATAAATAAAATGTTTAGATATTTAGTAAAAGCCCAGAGTACGTTCACCAAACAAAAAGCTGCAAAAGTGAAGTTTAATCATGACGTAAATAGGTGGAACTAAGCTTGTGACGTCACAATGTATTCTCTATGGCAGCAGTTCTGAACCTTTTGACTAACTCGTACAATCTAAACGAAAATTGGAAACCTTTAGTACCATCACTACATTTAAAATTGATTATTTCTCAGTTTCTGAATATAAATATTAAAAAAAATCTGAAAGCTTTCAGATTTTATATTACGCCCAAAGCAGCGTTTATTAACCTTTTGTGTGTGACATTTATTTATTAAATATAATGTTCTTCGCACTTAAACCACAAAACTCAGTTCAAAAGCAATATCATCGCGCTGGAGATAAAACTGTTTTTCCGTACAGTGTTGCCATTGCAAGCTTTGAAATCGTTGAGTTTAAGATAAAACAACACGCCGAACAAGTATTAATTTACAAATAAAAAAAATTTAGTCAAATACAAAAATCAGCGTTATATTTGCTAATTTTCACAGGACTAGTTTTGATGGTTTTATCCAACCATCATGCTCAGCTGCCAAAGCGGAAATGAACAAGATAAGATAAGAATGGCTAGACTCGAGAATAAGAATAGCTTTGAGCAGAAGATAAGAATGGCTTTGAGCAGAACTCGAGTTCAGCTACTGGCGCGATCTATTAATGAAAAGAGAAGAAAAACATAACTTCTTTAAAGACTGAAGGCAAAGATAGATTGGAAGTCGTTAACTAGAACAACAGAAAATTTTTTGAATGTGAAACCCCTCTAGAAAATCTGATTCACTAATGGAAGATGATTTTTGAATAATTTTGGCTGCAGAAAAATTGAAAGTGTTATTTTTGGACCAACAATGCTGGGTAACAGAGGACTTCTGTGTTTCCTTTCCTTTTTTCTAACATATGCCTTCATGTTCCTTGACACGAAACTTTAAGGCTCTCTTAGTTTGGACCAATGTAAATTAAACCACACTGGCAAGGAATCTTGTAAATACCCCAGGAATTTATATCCGGAATGACGTCCTTGAATAAATAACTGGAAGTTTATTGATAGGAGAATAAAAGACTCCAAATTTAAATTTCTGTAAAATACGTGCAATTTTATAGCTAATGGAAAGAAAGGAATGAGAGCAGAACTCTTATAATCTCCTAAAACAAGAGTGGGCCTTTTGGTGTCTTGAGATGATAATTTTTTTAACTGCTTACTTAATAATGTTGGGTAAAAAGCCCATTTCAATAGCTACTGCTTTTAAATTTAAATAATTCAGTTCTTGATCAAGAGCCAATTTGGAAGAGCAACCTTAAAGTGCACTGAAAGCATAGGAATAAAATGAAGCTAACTTTTGTTTTTAGTCGGGTAACATGATTTGAAGTGTAGTGGCAATCAAACCGATGAAGATTAACGGTAAACCGTAGTACTGACGCTGGATGTGTTGCGTGTGGCCAAAATGTCGAGGAATGGAAGAGAATTGCATGTCTCAAGTTTAAAATTGAATTGAATAGCAGGATCAATGTAATTCATTGTTGAAAGAACATTGTTTAAGTCATCTTTATTTCCGTCAAACAGGGTAAAAGTAGTGTTCACTTATCGGAACCATACTGGGAAGTTTAAAGTTTGAAATAATTTTGATTCATAATAATGCATGTAGATATCAGCCAAGATGGGACTGAAGGGGCTTCCTAAGGATAATCCCTCAGTTTGCTTGTAATGCGTATTTTGGAAAACAAAATGCGTTTGTTTCAAACAGATTTGAGTGAGTAAAATTAGCTCATCAGTTTCGATGCAAGAGAAGTGAAATTCACGAATTCTGATTTCTGGACATCTTAATAGACATACTAGAACATTGGTGAGTAATGGTTTTACATCAAAAGAAACCCTGAGTAAATTTCTAGGAACTTTTAACGTTTTTCACAAACTCTATTGAAATTTTTCTGGTGTAAATGCTATTATCTAATAGGATTGAAAATCTAGAAACTAAACATTTAGCTTGCGGGTTCAAGGCAATGCCTAAATTTGATACAATAGGACGGAAAGAAATACCGCTTGTATAAATTTTGGGAAGAACATATAATCTGCTAGAAGCCTGGCATTTAATTTCGAAAAACTTATTTTTCAGTCTTCCAACTGAAGTAGTTCAGAACGTTTTCCCATTGTAAATATTAAGCCAATAGTTAATATTTCTAGTGTTAATTTATCAGAAGAACAATAGAGAATTCTGAAATGTAATTTTAAAACCTCAAAACCCTTGATTCCAAAGAATTTGTCTTCTATCGAAAAAGTTTTCAAATTCAGTAAAGTTTCAGGTACACAGAAAGAAATGATTAGGCATTTTATCGCTAATAATGTGAAATTCAAAAATAAGCCTTTGAAACTAAATCTAAACGCGAAGAGGAACAGCTACAATGCGCGAAATTTATTCTAACTCGGACATTTATCATTTCAAAGGCTGACAAAGGTGGCGAGTTAGTCGTCATGGTCAAGAACATTTACATCTATGGTGTCATTAAACTTTTAAACGAAGAACCATATAATACGATCCCTGAAGACCCTCCCCCTTCGGACCTCTCAAAAATAAAAACTGCGATGAAATCTTTACAAATCCTTTCGACCAACTTAAAACAGTCGCTAATCCCACCTGTTGTGAATTGTGCCAGATTATATACTGTTACGTGTTTTTTCTGACACCAGTTATTACGTTATTATCTTCTTTCACGTTCGTATGGGGTTTGTGCATTTGAAGTGAATAACGACGACACTTAATGAAGTATCGAAACACACTTTATTCACCGCTATTAATCAGGACAGCTACAAAACACTTTTACAGTCTTCAAAGATCTACTATAAACACCCTGGCACAATCAGCGACTTAGTCTCCACAATGTCAGGTAATAACGGTGAAGGCAGCTTCACTGCAAAGCACCAGAGCACAGCTTCCGAATCTGCTCGGTCGTTCTCAGAACTCCACGTACTCTAGATACTTTCGGCGCTACAACACGCGATGCACTCGACGACACACAGAGCACAGCACCCGACTCTTCGGTTCAGTCGTTCCCGGAGCTTAACACACTCTCTCGACGATGCGCTAAGAGACCCTTCGATGCACTCGCTGCCCGGCTGTCAACTTGATCGACTCCGCACGAACTGACTAACTCGGGACTAACTATCTCGCACTCTGACTAACTGACTGACTGTCCGCGTACCAGCAGAATTTATATAGCTTTTGCCTTGTGTTCGAGAACATTCTGGGCTAATAAGGTCAGAATTCATTCCAGAAGGTTCTCCATCCATACATGGTATATCGCCAATTTCAACGCCAAATGCGCGATTTCTCGCCAATTGTAGCAACTTTGCCTTCATTTGCCATTTTATGGCAACCATAAAACTGCTTTGCGGGAAGCCATCTCACCGTGCCTAGACACTTCGTAACGATTCTCTTCCCAAAATTCATACAAGTGGTATTTCTTTCCGTCGTATTGTATCAAATTTTGGCAGTGTCTCGTTCCCGTTAACTAAATATATAGTTTCCGGATTTTCAACTTTATTAAATAATAATATTTACACCACAAAAAATTTAATAAAGTTTATAAAAACGTTAAAAGTGTTTGTCCTAGAATATGCGCATGGTTTCTTTTGATCTAAAATCATTATTCACCAGTGTTCCAGTGGAAGGTGCATTAAGATGTCTAAAAACCATACTTCGTGAATTTCACTTCTCTTGCATCGAAACTGATGAGCTAATTTCCCCCACTCAACTCTGTTTGAAACAAAGGCATTTTGTTTTCCAAAATAAGTATTACAAGCAAACTGAAGGATTAGCCATGGGAAACGCCCTCAGTCCCATCCTGGCTGATATATACATGCATTATTATGAATCAAAATTATTTGAAACTTTGAAATTCCCGGTATGGTTCCGCTACGTAGACGATACTTTTACCATGTTTGACGGTAATAAAGATGAATTAAGTTCTTTCAACAATGAATTCCATTGATCCTGCTATTCAATTCATTTGGGACATGCAATTCTCTTTCATTCCTCGACATTTTGGTCACACGTAACACATCCAACTTCAGTACTACGGTTTACCGTAAACCTTCATCGGTTTGCCTTCCACCACACTTCAAATCATGTCATCCGACTAAAACAAAAGTTAGCTTCATTTTATTCCTATGTTTTCCGTGCTCTTCAAGTTTGCTCCTCCAAACTAGCCCTTGATGAAGAACTAAATTATTTAAAAGCAATAGCTATTGACAGGGGCTTTTCACCCAACATTATTAATCAAGCAGTTAAAAAATTCTCATCTCAACACACCAAAAGGCACACTCTTGTTTTAGGAGATTATAAAAATTCTGTTCTCATTACTTTCTTTCCATCAATTAGCTGTAAAATTGCGCGTATTGTACAGAAATTAAAATTTTCGGATGTTTATTCTCCTAGTAATAAAATTCTGGGTTCTGTACTCAAGAACACCATTCCGGATATGAATTCCTGGGTTATTTACAAGATTCCTTGCCAATGTGGATTAATTTACATTGGTCAATTTAAGAGAGCCTTAA